GTCCACGACCCTCTCCGCCCTACTACGGCCAGAGCGCCTTTGCTGTGGTTCGTCTTCCTCTTCTTCCTCTCTGTTTTTTTAAAGACGCTGCCCTAGGTGGAGGCATTTTTCCACCTCCATTGGCGTGTCTATCTGCTGCTGCTGCTTCTTTCTTTGCTGTTGTTGCTGTTGTTGTTGCTGCTGTTGTTATTGTTGCTGTTTTTGGTGCGGCTGTTTTTGCTGCACCTCTTTTGGTTGCTGCTTCTCTGGCCGCTCCTGCAGTGGTAGTTGCCTCTTTGGTTGAGGCATCTCTTGTTTTGAAGGAGACAGAACGTTTGGCGATTTCCGGCTTCTTCTTACCTCCTTCCAGGCTTATACTGCTGCTGCTGTTGTCGTTGCTGGACGAGGTGGAGATCGTACCCGTTCACTGGAGCACTCTTTCGTCATGTGTCCTGAAGCCCCACATGACCAGCAATACGGTTTCCTGCCCTCCACCACTACCAGCATCTTCTTATCCCGGCAAACAAGTATGGTGGGTATTTCCTGGAAATTCTTGCGGTTAACTGTGATATATACTTCTATGTCTCCAGTCGCTATGCCGGCTTTACTAATGAGGGCCTTTACTTCGTTAACTTCGTATTTGTCGAAAAAGGCCCCCGTTCTGTTGTCAGAGATGTCTACGGGTACCCCATGGATGGTAACCTTTGTCCTATGGGTGCCCATATATTCTGTCTGTAGGCGTAGGATTTTGTGTTCAAGACACTCCCTTCTAGTTCCTTGGTCTGCTGTTCCGTCTGTAGGTCCCATAATGCATAGCACTTCTGGATTAATATGTAACGCATTCAAAGCTTCTTCCATGCTTTCCCTGCTGACCCCAATTAATTTCCGGGTTAATTTTCTGCGATCAGTGCGTCTCTGCACGCTTTTAATTTATGCAGACCCGATCTACTCAGTTTTACTCACAAGGCTTGGGGTAAATCTTAATATGGTTTTCAGGTACTTTCCGAGGGTGTCGCAACTCCAGGCTGATAACATCAGGAAGTCACGTCTTTGAAAAATCAGTCACGGTGAGACTCAAGCTGTGTTTCATTGGTCGGAAAGCGATCGTTCTAAATAAAAGACACACCTTAACGCCCTAAGTGCTTGTGAAAATCCACGTCCTAACTTAGCATAATATAATAAACTGAAGAGACGGACTTTTAAGATATTGGTGCATGAAAATAATGCTCTATTCAATACCATTCCTTAAAAGAACAATCCCTATCCTGGAGGCATTTATTTACCGTATATACTCGAATATAGTGCGAGTTTTTATCAGGGACGGTGCTTCTTACCCACCGAAACCCCCGACCTATGCGCGTTTTTGAGAGAGAGACATGAGTCAACTAAAATGTGGTTCTACAGAAGGATGCTGAGGATACCATGAAGCGAACATATGAGCAACGGCGGGGTTTTTGAGTAAATGGAAACAAAAAGGCAGTTGAAATATCCGGGATACATAATGAGGAAAGAGGGCTTGGAAATCCTGATACTCATAGGACAGATTGAGAGAAAGAGGGACATAGGAAAGCAGTAAAGTAATTGAGTAAATGGAGGGTAGAACAGGGTTTTGGGAGAAATAACAAAAAGACTAAACATAATTAAGAGCTACAAGAGACAGGAAGATGTGGAGGGCCATAATCGCTTATATCCTGAAGGGACACAGTACATAAAAGAAAAAGAAGAAATACACAAATGTAGATCTGGGCGTAAGACAAGGACGTGTTTCCTCACCAAACTTATTCAACCTTTGTAGCAAGAGGATCCTGAAGCTATACCTGGATTTATTATTGACTGACTCATTATTAACGACGTAAGATATTTAGGAGGTACGGTGGAGTAATTGGGAGCAGCTTGGATTGAGGAATCGAAGAGCCGAGTTCGAATTCTAATACGCTTGGGAAAGGTATGAATCTTCTTCTCCCCTCCCCCAGCTATGGGTAAATGGCAGGACAGACCGGGTTCTATAGCAACTGGTCTACCGCAGAAAGAAATGACAACCTACTACGGAAAAATTTTGCCTATTTTATTCATGTATCGAAAAATACATGATCAACTATATACCCGATATTCAGATGACAAAATGTTGGTGGCCGACACAGGAAGTCAAACTGAAGGTAGCAAAAGAAAGCGAGAAGAAAGGACTAATCATCAATATATATATAGACTGTATGGTTGTCAGCAAAGGGAACAGCCCAAGATGCGAACTACGAATTGGAGATAGGGAAATTAAGCAAGTACGAAAGTTTAAATATCTGCTAAGTGTTTTAACAGGTGACGGAAAATGCGACACCAAAATCCGAAGGCGTACTAGAAAAGTTGCTTTCCAAAATCTAAGCGGGATACAGTAGAATCTCTGACAACCGGACTAAGAAGACCTTCCGGATATAAGAAATTGGTTACAAATTCCGGATATGAGGCCTTCCAGATATGAGAAATTGGTTACAAAGTCCGGATATGAGGGATTCCGGATATGAGGCCTTTCGGATATGAGGCCTTCCGGATATGAGAAATTGGCTACAAAGTCCGCATATGAGGCCTTCCGGATATGAGGCCTTCCGAATATGAGAAATTGGTTACAAAGTCCGGATATGAGAGATTCAGGATATGAGGCCTTCCGGATATGAGGCCTTCCGAATATGAGAAATTGGTTACAAAGTCCGGATATGAGGGATTCCGGATATGAGGCCTTCCGGGTATGAGAAATTGGTTACAAAGTCCGGATATGAGGGATTCCGGATATGAGGCCTTACGGATATGAGGCCTCCCGGATATGAGAAATTGGTTACAAAGTCCGGATATGAGGCCTTCCGGATATGAGGCCTTCCGGATATGAGGCCTTCCGGATATGAGAAATTGGTTACAAAGTCCGGATATGAGGGGTTATATTTAGATTAAAATAAAAGAGTTCTTAGATTAAAATAAAAGAAGTGAAATTAGGTGTAACATTTATTTTCAGTGTTTTATAGTAAACAAAATAAGCTAATGTTGAATGAAATTCCATAAGGAATTGATTTGAAGGAAAAACAAATAAATTATGTAATGTTAATGAAAATTCATTCAATTAAGTATGCCACATATACAAAACAAATAATGTAACGTGAATTTTTAAAACGCAGTCGTATGATGATGTCATTCTCAACTTTTTCCGCATTTCATTTTGCTTTTGTTCTTGAAATTTTTTAAACGAAAGACACTTTGTAATTATTGCAATCGTCATAGCTGAATGCTGACTTTCTTTCCATAAAACTGACCACCTTTTTCAGTTTCAGTCCAGGTTTCATCACGATCATGCATCTCGTCGCTATCTTGTTGCAGATGTGTCACGTTGTCATTCTTTCCTCTTATTCCCATCATCTTTTGCACCAATACACGCTATTAGGGTGAAATAAGAATAAGTAAATTTCCTGCAAAAGAATTGAACTCACAACCCTTTGGGTCTAGTCACTGGACGTAACCAACGCCTTTATCCAGTGGTCGAGTTAAAGGGAAATAAATGAGACATGTGGAAGAGTCATAGAACATTGAACTAGAACAATCTACCCCGGTGGACAAAATAAAGAGTTCGTTTCGAAATTCCAATCACCTGAAGAAGGCTGAAACGTTGTAAATATGGCAATGAATATGAGGATAACAGTCCGAATAATATAAATAATGTAAGTAATCTTAATTAATCTCAGAGATATAGATAGATATTGATAATTGAATTCATGTTTTTTAAAGCATCAGTATATTTGCATGACTTCAGGTAGATGCCTTAAAAAGCAGTTGCATAACAGAGGGCGTACGGACACGGTTTTTTATTGGAACATATATAGTGAGTTGAACATATAAAGACGGCTACGAATACAAGCATAAATCATGTTGAAAAATAGCCTCGTGAATGCAGAGACATGGACGAAATAAGGAAATAACTGATCATCAGCGTCTCAAATCAATCACAATCAAATCGACATTTAAAGTTCATAGGCTTCTTGAAGCAATCATTAATTTGAAGTGAAATCGTCTTTTTCTGGAAATTGGAATTTTCCGTGCATTCAGCCGGGAAGTTTTGTCAGACTCACAGCACTGATATTTCTTTAAAGCCGTTCCGAGAATTTTTTTTATGGGGCTACTTAGAAAAACGATGTGACAAGGATGGTGGAATTTGATTGGTTTCTTTTCTTGTATCCCGCCTTTTTTGGGAGAGAAGGGGTATTCTTAATTTCCCGTTTTCTTTCCTTATTCTTTCTACCATTTTCTTTCATTTCATTTTTCCTTCAGGATTTTCTCTTTCATTTTCTTCCGTTTAAAATTCTTTTTACTTTCTTTCTTTGCATTTCCGTTTTTCATTCTCTGCTTTCCATATTAAATTGGCACAAAACAAGCCTAAATGTGCAGAGGGGGATAGGAAGACGGTGTTACGCCAAGATTTCAAATGACTGCTTATGAAATCAGCATTATTATTATTATTTTTTTTTTTATTTTGTTGAATACAGAATTTTGGTACCAGTAATAAGATAAACCATATCAATTTATATATTTATGATATATTTAGTTTATTACAACACAAGTTGTGACGGAGGGAAAGTGATGATAGGAAGACTGTGTTACGTCAATTTTCCGAGGGGTGAAATTCTGCCTACATAAATCCGCTGCATTCAAAATATTGTCTGTTATTTTATTTATTTTCGCTCGATGGCGAATATATAAAACGCGATTTTTTTTTGTTTTTTTTACTTACGTCCTATTTTATATAATTTCTGTTTTTCTTTTTTGCTTGATTTTCCTTTTTATAATTTATTTACTTATTCTTTCTTTCAGTATCTTGCCTTCGTTCTCTCGTCCCACCTTCTTGCTCACCTCTTTCCTATTTATTAGATTTCCTTTCTTTCTCTCCTTCTTTTGTTTAATTTAATACATCCATGTCTCTATTTTTATTCTAAGTTCTACTTGTTTGGTATTCTCTCTGCTTCTTTTTTTATATCTAATTTTATTATTACATGTTCTTTCTTTATTTCATTCTCTCTTTCGCATTTGATTTAATACGTGTCTATCTATCTTTCTTTCATTCTTTTTCACAATCGCAAGTTCCGTAACCCATGAGCATAGTAGGGTCACCACATATACTGCAGCCACAGTTGCAGTAATTATTTCCTGGGCAAGAAATTCTGATGGAGGCCAACTCTCTCCAAGCTGGTTTCAATTCAGAGTTTTCCTTTTCCTAGATTAGTCCCCAGCCAAAGTTATTGGACACAGCTGGAGAGAAAAGAGATCGATTCATATCTTTCCTAACGGTATTAGCACGTAAGTGAGTAAATGTAGTGAACTCGACAGGAATTTGAACTCGGATCTCCGATTTCTCAGTTCGAACTGCTATACATTACTCCGCCGAGCCTCTTTTTGTTTTCTTTCATTCTAATCAAATTCATACTTTATTCTTATTTCTGTCTTCTTTTGTCTGTCTATTTTAATTTATCCATGGTTTTCATTGATTCATTCTTTCTTTCTTTCTTTTATATTCTTTCTCTCTCATTTTTATTCCCTTTCTTTATTTCTTCTTTTCTTAATCTCTTTCTTTCTTTTATATTCTTTCTCTCTCCTTTTTTATTCTATTTCTTTATTTCTCCTTTTCTTAGTCTCATTCTTTTTTTTTATTATATTCTTTCTCTTTTTATTCTTCTTTTTTTTCTTAATTCCTTTCTTTTATATTCTTTCTCCTTTTTTATTCTTAATCTTCTTTTTCTTTCTTTTCTTTTATATTCTTTCTCTCTCCTTTTTTATTCCCTTTCTTTATTTCTTCTTTTCCTAATTTCTTTCTTTCTCCTTTTTTATTCCCTTTCTTTATTTCGTCTTTTCCTAATCTCTTTTTTCTTCCTTTTTCTCTTTCTTTCTTTGCCACCTAATCTTTCGTTACATCGTTTTTTATTTGCTTCTTCAGTTTTCTTTCTTTATTTCTTTGAGTGATTATTTATCTCCCTGTGTCTAGTTTCATTCATAGATGTTTTTCATTTCTTTCTTTCTTTCTTTCTTTTTTTCTTTCTTTCTTTCTTTTGTATTTAATTTCACCTATAGCTGTTTACTTTCCTTTCTCCTCTAATTTAATTCTTGCCTATTTATTTTTTTCTATTCTTTCATTTATTATGTTCATTTAATGCGTACATATTTATATTTTGACGTTCTGCTTTATATTTTTCTTAAACATAATTCATACATCTTTCTTTCTTCCCCGTATTACTTTATACCTCTTCCTCCCTCACTCCCTTCTTTCTTTATTTATTTATTTATTCTTTATTTTACGTCACGCGTTGTGCGCATGTTATGTAAAGCTTTTCACTTGCATCTATATTTATTCTGCTACAAAATGCTGAAACCTGATTCAATGGCTCGTGAGTGTTTGTGGGCCTTTTGAGATAGCTTGTTTGTTAGCCATTTGGTGGTATTTCCATAATTACCACTCAATATTTTATTAAGAAGCCCTGCATAACGTTGGCGAGCGGTATACTGCAATGTCCTAATGGCCGTTGAATACGGCCAATGCAAGAAATCCCACAAAAGCATGCTCGCGCTTCCAGTGGCCAGAAACACACGGGGAAATTATCTGGCAATTTACTAAAGTTCATTCCTTTTCGTCTTGTCTTTTCTTCGCTTCCTTGCTTCTCTCTATCACAACTTTCCTCATCAAATAACCTCTGATCGTTAAAACACGTAAGAACTTTAAAAATGGAGCTTCCGGCAAGATTTGAACTCGTGTTCTATATTCCGTGATCACGTCTTTCAGGGGTAACGCCTTGACCATTAAGGCAGAAGGTATCTGTTCCTAGACTAATCGCGATTTTTTTTTTCAGTCTGTGAGTAATGTTACAAGTCGTAACCTGAATAAGAAAACGTAGGAACGACATTAAATACTCTCAATGCATATAGCATATACGCATATAAAGTCATTGGATTGCTATCATACTTAGCTCGAATTCGAACGCGGCTATCCTATTTGATGTAATTGATTCACTGTTTTTTTTTAAACTCATTAACCTTTTGAAGGTTATCTAAAGCCATAAATTTTCCATCCCAATAATGTATAAATCCTTCATGTCATTAACCCAACGTAAAAATGTTCATTTATTTCCCGTGTCTTTTCAGGATGTGGGCAATCATGGCTCTTCCCAACTTCCTATTCTTTGCAGCTCTTAGCAGTGTTTGTATTTTTATTACCCCCTCCCATTCTGTGTTCAACCAACCATTTGCACAAGCACATTACGTAGCTTATTCCCTTACCTTCAATATGTCCTTATGAGTATAAAACTCTCCAAGCCCTTTTTCCTTGCTATGTATCAAACAAATTTCAACTGTCGCTTTCTGATTCTGGCTACAGGTGTCCTATGTGTTTGCATTTTACTAAAAAATTCTGTCTGTTCTCATGTTCCGTCTGTTGTATTCTCAGCATCCTTCTGTAGAACCACATCTCTGTTGACTAAAGTCTTCTCTTTATCTGTGAGAGAATTGTCCTTCATTCACTGCCATATAAGAGGACTGATATTACATAACAGTTGAGCACTCTTTTCTTTGTTCTACTTAAATACTTCTGTTTTCTTAATACATTGTTTAGGTTTTCGAAGGCTTCTTTCGCTATTTCAACGGACCTTCGGTTGTCTCTTTCTCATTTCGCGCCGTCTGGTATATAGCTTAATTTTTTGTAAGTGCTTGATTCTGATGTCTCCAATTCGTAGCTCACATCTTGGGCTGTTCTTCTTGCTAGCAATCAGACATGCTGCCTTCCCTACAATTGATGGTTAGTCCTTTCTTCACGCTTTCCTCTACGACAAGGGTCAGCAACCTGCCGGCCGGATCCGGCCCACGAAGGCATTTTGACCGGCCCGCGAGCCTGATTACCAATGACTCTATTTTTAACATGTTAGACGAGGCTTTCGAATTAGACTATCTGCCAGTTATCTTTCATGAGACTTATTTTACCAAGTTGCATTGCCTACGTTTAATGTCAAATAATGGATACATATTTGTTATGACCCTTGGCTACATTAAAAGATAACAGAAGCGAAAGGAACGATAAAGTGAAAGAGGCCAGGGAGGGACTGACATGCAAGGTAGCAGAAATCTAAAGACAGTTAAACATACGCGCATTATACATACATGCCTCATGAATGTGTGGATGATACCGCATGTGTACATACGTAAGTGTATATGTTTGAAACTCGTTTGTACTAGTATGTATGGGTATATGTGCTTCGTTTTTGTTTGATGTGTGCGTGTGTGGTTCGTTTGTGGAACAATTTTCAATAACAGTTTCAAACCTACACGTCATAATTTCATCCATTTCACTTCGGTTGATTTTTTCCACTTTGAAGTATTTTGACGTTCCTTGAGGAAAAGTAATTTTTGTTGGGTGTTTTTTTAAATTTTGGATTTTCTTTTGTTTTTCTGATTTCTCAATGTTTATTTTCATTATGGTTTTAAATATTTAGGTTGTAATTTTCCTTAATTTTTCATTAATGGCCTTCGTCCGGCCCGCGACCCGTCGTTATAACACGATCCGGCCCGCGGGGTCGAATGAGTTGCCGACCCCTGCTCTACGATTTAAATTTCTGGAAATAATTATGTTTCTAAAGACAAAGAAACCTGGTATTAAATATAGGCTTCTAAAAGAAATCCAACATTAGTCAGTAAAAATAAAAGAGAAGGAAAATTCTGATTTTAAGCCTCAGCTGCCTTGCGGCCATGTCCGATCATGGGAAAGGCTACGGGGATAAATCCTGAGGACAAATCCGGATCCGGAGGCCCTAAGACAGTTCGATGTTATGCTCACCATCGTTCTGGCAACTCCTGCGACGACGCCTTTCCATTGGACAACATCGGCGGCGTGGACAGAGGATACTCTAACGTGGCCTCACTACAATGGCAAAGTAAAGAAAGTCCTCCCATCTACTGATGGGAGGATTCAGAAAGCCCTTCTGGGTGAGGAACTGACCACCGGCAAGGAGGCACTAGGGTGATGGACATGGGCACATCGAGAGGTTGAAAGATGTCGCCAAAGATCTATGTAACGCACTTCAACCGCTAAAAGGACTTCATTAGACTAGGAAGGAAACCCCCATCAGTACTGGAAAGAGCGATAACAGCTACTGGACTTGAAAAAACATTTTCCTGAAAAATTGTTTTAAGAGAAAAATTTTATAAATTTCAACCCAAAGTAGCACTGGCTACTCGATCAATGAATGCTGAATGTTTCCTAATAAGGAAACGTCTAATATTACTATTACCTTTACAAATGTACTTATCGATGGAATTATATATATATATATATATATATATATATATATATGCAGAGAGAGAGAGAGAGAGAGAGAAAGAAAGAAAGAAAGAAAGAAAGAAAGAAAGAAAGAAACAACAATAACAACACACACAAAACTTTATTCTGACATCCAGTGTAAAATAGCTATATGTGATATAGGTGTATTTATATATTTCGGGTAGATAGAATTCGTCATCCCGGGAGGGTAGTCCATCTAAGAGAAGAAAAATTCATCATGGGAAAGGCTTCGGAAGTAAACCTGAGGACAATTCCGGAGCCGGGGTCCCTAAAACAGTCTGATGTTATGTTCAATTTCGTTCTGGTAACTACTGCGACGACGCCGGTGTCAAACTGTATTGGCGACTGTCTTTCCCGCGGACAACATCGGTGGCGTGGAGAAGGAAGACTTGTTGCGTGGGAAACCTTCGATCTCTCATAAAACTCTTCACAAGCCTGCACCATGGAGAGGACACATCGGCAGTGAGATTTGGAGCATCTACGCCTTACAAGAGCGACGCTTCATCGCTTTTATCTTCGTTGTCTGAGATGAATTCTGGGCATCAATTAGCCCGACCCGGTCACCAATGCCGTAATTCTCATCCATGCCCAGTTACCCAGCACACACGTCCTCCTTCAATAGAGCTGGCTTGGACATGCACACTGTATGCCGGATGGGATGATTCCGAAGGTCCTTCTGTGCAGGGAACTGGCCACCGGCACGAGGACGACCTCATGTTCGCTAGAAGGACGTCTGCAAAGGGGACATGAGGACGATGGATATAGACATCGAGAGGTGTGAAGAGGTCTCCGAGCATCGCTCGCGCTGGAGACGCGATTTAAACCGAAGGCTGGAGCGAGGAAAAGAGAAACAGAGGCTTGCTGCCGGGGAGAAGCCTACTCGACGGTTGCGCCGCCATCAGCAGCTGAAACATAACTCTTTAGGCGCAGGTCCATGATCTCTCGAAGGAAAAAAAATATAAAAATTCAATCTTAACCTATTCATGCCAACTAGCCCCAAAATGAACATTAACGGATTAATAAAAGAAAGAAATGATTGGTAACTGGCTGTCGAGCGGTTGTTACCAAGCTAGTTCAGTAGAACATTCATTCAGTAGGGTAATTGGTTATATGTATGCTTTATTATAATAGTCTTGTGTTAATCTAAGATAAGGTTAATAAATAAAACAACTAAAAATTACTGATTTTTTTTTGTTTTACTTTTTAATGTTCCAGTATTTCTTACGCAAACTTAACCCAAGAAAAAGATCGTTTGACAAGAAGGATAAAAAATGGATACAGTAAAAGTAAATATTAAAATGTTATTTCTCATTGTTTATTCTAACCGTTTCAAGATAAAACAGATGCACAATCTCGTTTGTAAAGAAGGAAGAGGAGAAGTAGGGGTGGAGGAGAAGAATACGAAGGACGAGAGTAGGAGGTAGAGAAAAAGAAGGAGGAGGGGAAGGAGGTAGAGAAGTAAGAATGAAAGAGAAGAAGAAGGATGAAAAGTAAAAGGTAGAGAAGAACAACAACAACTACAAGGAGGAGAAGAGGAAAAAAGAAGAAATGAAGAAGGAGGAGTAGGAGAAGTAGGAGTTGAGGAGAAGAATAAAAAGGATGAGAAGTAGGAAGTAGAGAATAACAACAACAGCAAGAACAA